GGGACCAAATGACCCAGAAATTTCTTAATAAATATTTTTCACCTGCAAAAACAATTAAAATGAAGCAAGAAATCAATAATTTTATGCAGACAGATACTGAATCTGTATATCAGGCATGAGAAAGATTAGTAGCAATGTTAAGAAAATGCCCACATCATGTGATCCAAGACCCTGACATTTTATATATTTTCTATCACGGTCTTAAACCCTCTGCTAGAAATGTAATTGATGCAGCATTAGGAGGATCAATAATGGAAAAAACTACCACAGAAGCAATGCAATTGCTTAATGAAATTTCGAAAAATGCTGTCCAATGGCCCTTAGACAGAATGATTATCAAGAAAACGGCAGGAGTAAATCAAGTTGAAGCTTTGAACTCATTGACACAACAAATTGCGACCTTAACACAAAAAGTGGAGGCTTTTCAGGTAGGTGCTCAATTGTCATCTCAACTTGAAAATTGTGATGTTTGTGGATGTAATCATCCAAATCATGAATGTCAAGCTTCAACGCAAAATGTGGAACAGGTAAATGTGATTGGTTATAGAAATAGTTACTCATTCGACAGTCCCATGGCACAAAAACATCCAGGATTCCAATGGAGTAATCTTAATGGTGCTGAAAATCCTCAAAGATATTTTAATCAAAAGCAACAGGTACAGGGACCCCCAGGTTTTCAAAATCAAAATAGAGGGCAACAAAATTTTCAACAGTATCAGCAGCAGCCCCAAAGAGCTCATCAACAAAGCCTTGAAGACCTGATGTACAAATTCATCAAGGCTACTGACGAGAAGGTTGAAAGTCAACACCCAGCTATCAAGAATTTGGAAATTCAAGTAAGCCAATTACCAACCCTCATGTCTGGAAAAATTCAAGGTGCTCTACCAAGCAACACTGAGAAAAACCCAAAAAAACACCTCAAAGCCATCTCTCTACGATCAGGTAAAACTCTTGATGATCCATTTGCAGATAGAGAAGGCAAACCACAAGAAATGGGAAAGGTAAATGAAAATGAAAATAAAACAGAATCTAAGTTCCCAATAGAACAAAAAGATAAAGAAAAAAGGTACAAGAAAATGAGTTGATGACAAATCCTCACTCTGTACCTCTCCCATTTCCCCAAAAGATGAAAAAAGAAAAGCTTGACAAACAGTTCTCAAAGTTTCTAAAAATTTTAAAACAGCTTTACATTAACATACCTTTCACAGATGCTTTGACGCAAATGCCTTCATATGCTAAATTTCTCAAAGAAATTTTGTCAAGTAAAAAAAAATTGGAAGAAGTTTCAGTGGTTAAGCTTACAGAAAAGTGTAGTGCTATACTTCAAAATAAGCTCCCACAGAAACTTGGTGATTTGGGAAGTTTTACAATTCCTTGTACCGTAGGAGGTGCTCACTTTGAAAAGGCATTATGTGATTCAGGTGCCTCAATAAATCTAATGCCTTTTCACTTTTCAGGAAATTAGAACTTGGTGAAATGAAAGATACTGGTGTGTCTATTCAATTAGCTGATCAAAGTACTAAGAGACCAAAAGGAATTATTGAAAATATCCTTGTCAGAGTTGACAAATTTGTATTTCTAGTAGATTTTATAGTGCTTGAAATGGAAGAAAATACTGAAGTACCATTAATTTTAGGTAGACCATTTCTTGCAACAGGAAGAGCAATTATTGATGTTCATCAAGGACAATTAATATTGTGAGTTGATGAGGAAAGAGTAATTTTTGACATGCAGAAAATAATAAAATTTCCTGGGGATGAGTCATCATCATCTTGTTTTCAAATTGACTTACTAGATAACCTTGTAGACGAATACAAAGATAATCAGATTACTGATTCATTGGAGAGATGTTTGGCTAGGTCAGGTACCATAGGTGATGATAACCCCATTATTAGAGAAGAAGCTGAAATTCTAGAAAAAGAGTCAGAAAATGAGAAAGTCTCACACGAAGGAGTCCAATTAAAAATTAAACTCAAAGAACTTCCCTCTCATTTAAAATATGTGTTTCTTGAACCTGAATTATTTGCAGTAATCAATTCATCTTCTTTGACTATAGAACAGGAAAGCAAACTGATTGGAGTCCTGAGAAAACCCAAAACAACCTTAGGGTGGACTATAGCTGATATCAAAGGAATCAGTCCAGCTATTTGTATGCACAGGATTCTTATGGAGAATGATTATAAGCCAATAGCCCAACCCCAAAGGAGACTAAACCCAACAATGCAGGAAGTCGTCAAGAAAGAAGTGGTGAAACTTTTATCAGCAGGTATCATTTATCCAATATCTGACAGTCCTTGGGTAAGTCCTGTACAAGTAGTACCAAAGAAAGGAGGTATGACAGTAATAAAAAATGAAAATAACAAACTCATACCTACTAGAACAGTCACAGGATGGAGAGTCTGTATTGATTACAAACGACTTAATGATGCCACAAGGAAAGATCATTTTCCTTTGCCCTTTATTGATCAAATGCTTGAAAGAGTTGCAGGCCATGGTTTTTACTGTTTTCTTGACGGATATTCTGGGTATAATCAGATACCAATTGCTCCAGAAGATCAAGAGAAAACCACATTCACATGCCCCTAAGGTACGTATGCTTACCGAAGAATGTCATTTGGACTATGCAATGCTCCTGCTACATTTCAGCGTTGCATGTCAGCAATTTTCTCAGATATGACTGAAAAGTTTCTTGAAATATTTATGGATGATTTCACACTTTTTGGTAAGACATTTGAAGATTGTCTCTATCATTTAACTTTGGTGCTTAAAAGATGTGAAGAGACAAATTTAGTTCTTAATTGGGAAAAATATCATTTCATGGTAACAGAGGGAATTGTTTTAAGACATAAAATTTCTGCTAAAGGGATAAAAGTTGATAAGGCTAAAATTGATCTTATAGCAGGATTACCCCCTCCTACCACTGTTAAAGGCATTAGAAGTTTCTTAGGGCACGCAAGTTTTTATAGAAGGTTTATAAAAGATTTTTCAAGTATCTCAAAACCTCTGACTAACCTACTGACGAAAGATGTGAAGTTTGAATTTTCAGATGATTACAGAAAAGCATTTAAGATTCTCAAGGAACATTTGACTAATGCTCTAATTGTTGTTTCTCCTGATTGGAGCGAACCATTTGAAATAATGTGTGATGCAAGTGATATAGCAGTTGGAGAGATATTGGGACAAAAGAGAGACAAGATTTTTAGGCCTATTTACTACGCCAGTAGAACCCTCAATGAAGCTCAAAAGAATTATGCTACAACTGAGAAGGAACTACTTGTAGTAGTATTTGCATTTGACAAATTTCGTTCCTATTTGATAGGAACAAAGGTTACAATTTATACTGATCATGCAGCTTTAAAGTACCTCTTAGCAAAGAAGGATGCTCGACCTAGATTGCTAAGATGGATACTCCTTTTGCGAGAATTCGATCTTAAAATAAAAGATCGAAATGGTTCTGAGAATCAGGTAGCTGATCATTTGTCTCGTTTGGAAAATCCTCCTACTAAGATAGAAGATTTCAAAGAGGGATTTCCAGATGAACATATATTTTCAGTCACAACCTTTATAAACCAACCACCTTGGTTTGCTGATATTGCCAACTATTTAGTTGGGGGATGGATCCCAAAAGATTTTTCCTATGAACAAAGAAAAAAGCTTAAAAAAGAAGCAAGACATTACTGCTGGGAAGATCCTTATTTGTTTAAATTTTGTGCAGATGACATAATTAATAGATGTGTACCGGAGCCAGAAATGAACAACATTTTAAGTCATTGCCATGATGGAGCTGCAGGAGGACACTACGGAGGAAGAAAAATATCAGCTAAAGTACTTGAAATTGGTTTCTTTTGGCTGACTCTGTTCAAAGATACAAAAAATTATTTCGCCACATGCGATAAATGTCAGAGAATCGGTAACATTTCAAAAAGGGACGAGTTCCTCTAAACTCCATCCTTGTGTGTGAAATATTCGATGTTTGGGGTATTGATTTTATGGGTCCTTTCCCTCCTTCTAACGGTTATGAATATATTTTGGTGGCTGTTGACTATGTTTCAAAATGGGTAGAAGCAATAGCCACTAGAAAAAATGACGCTCATGTCGTTTATGCTTTTCTGAAGAAAAATATTTTTTCTAGATTTGGAACTCCACGAGTTATAATAAGTGATCAAGGAACTCATTTTATAAATAACTAATTTGCTAATTTGTTGTCAAGATATGGAGTCACGCATTAAAACGGGAACTCCATATCATCCTCAAACAAGTGGACAAGTAGAAGTATCCAATAGAGAATTAAAAACAATTTTAGAAAAAATTGTTGGTTCTTCTTGAAAAGATTGGTCTTTAAAACTAGATGATGCTCTATGGACATATAGAACTTCTTTCAAAACTCCTATAGGCACATCTCCTTATAGACTAGTATTTGGAAAATCTTGTCATCTACCCGTAGAATTACAACACAAAGCATATTGGGCTATAAAATTATTGAATCTAAACTTGCCAGATGCGGGTAAAAATCGTCTGTTACAGCTTGATGAGTTAGAAGAGTTCAGACTTACAGCATATGAAAATACTAAATTGTACAAAGAAAAGACCAAAAAATGGCATGACAAGCTCATTCGTCATAAAGATTTTAAGGTCGGAGATTAGGTTCTGTTGTACAATAGCATGTTAAAATCATACATCGTGAGAGAAATTACTCCATATTGTGCCATTGAAATACAACATGCGGATGGAGAAAAAAAGTTCAAAGTGAATGGTCATCGTTTGAAGCCTTATGTCACAATAATATTTGACAAACAGGCCTCAACAATTCTTTTTTCTTAAATAAGTAAATAAATAGATAAATATATTATAATATAATTAAGTATAAATATATGTATATATTCTACATATATATAGAAGCCGCTTGGAAGTAGGTCAGGGTCGACATGCCTGCTTCCCAAGGGCTACTTTAGTCTTTTCCTAAGTTTTACTAATAGCTAACACGTATAGAGTAACTCTAACAGGTGGTAAGATATAATCCCTCCCTGTGCCAGCGATTAATCCCCCTCTCTCTCTCTCTCTTTATCCTCTTTCTTTGGCTGTTTCATGTTCAATTTTCTTTGTATCTCACACCGAATAATCTGCTGCATCTCGCTTTGTTCATCTTCTTTCTGTCTCTGTTTCATCTTCAGATTTGTTCTTATCTCAACTTCAATGACTGTGGTAATTATTCTTCTTTCTACTTCTTCTACGATGGCTTCCATGTTTCATAGGTCCCAAGGGCTACTTTAGTCTTTTCCTAAGTTTTACTAATAGCTAACACGTATAGAGTAACTCTAACAGGTGGTAAGATATGCTCCACCAAGATAATCATATGGCTGAAAGGTTAGTTTTACTGTTCTATCTGATTATTTTGTTTCAGGGTTCCTCTTGGTTTGTTGTTCAAATTTTTGTTGTTTGTGAAACTCAAAGAACAGCTTGAAAAGAAACTGGAGTTTCCGCCAATTATCCGACAATTTTCTATCTTTGTTTGTATTTGAAGGTTTTGTCATTTTTAAATTGGGGATTTCAGAATACATGAGCCTCTGACTTTCTTACATTTGAGCCACAATTCTAAGTTTCATCTTGTTCATCATGTTTCTTTCTCTGCTTCATCTTCAGATTTCGTTTTATCTCAAGTTTATCGATTTCGACATCAACGATTAATCGAAGGTCATTGTGTAAGAAACCTGGGTCACTGACTTGAACGGTATTTCTTACTCTTACCACTCTGCTTTGTTCATGCGTTACTTCGGGTTTAAAACCAATTGTTTGCTAGATCTCAAATTTTTTCTTTTGGTCTACTTTGTTTTCAGTTGGCCTGCTATGTGTTTGTGAAATTGCCAACTCCAATTACTTACCCATCCCAAGGTAAATATTTTGTAGTTTGATTTAGTCCACTGAGTATATTTGGGGACGATAATCATGAGTTTTATGGATAACTTAAAAACTCTTAAGTGTTAGGTATTACTGGGTGTAATTGGGTGTTAATAGTGAATTTGGCAGTGCAGGCGAATTTGCTATGAATGGCTTAATTGAAGGTATTGGTTAGTCATAAATATTTTTATTTGATCATGGCATGAAAAGTAAAAGAACTTGTGAATGAATTATGGAGAAAAAAAATTGACGAATCAGAATCCGACCTCAAAGTAGATAGAAGAATTCTTTAGTCATATGGTTTTGCTGCATATGCCAGACAATAGATCCTTTATGTAGATTATTGGGGAAAAGCCAATGAGGCAATATCCATGTCAAAGAGAAATTGACTGGAACCACTGCAAATTTGAAATAAGAAACTCTTCCCTATATTTTCAAGGTTACATATTTAAATTTGTTCAAAATTTGCAGGCAGACCGATAATTTTCTCATAACATATCCATATTAATAAAGATTTAAACTCCATAACTCAAGTATTGACATGTAGAATTATTCAATCTCAATTATTCTATGAATTTGCAATTTGCTTTAGCTATGAGGTGCCAGTTTCTCTTAACACTACAACTGGTTACCCACTTAAATATTTTTGATCAGTTTGAAGTCAAAACGAATTTGATATTCTTTTGTAGCACGTTCATTGAGGAAAAACTGGAAGAATTGAAATTGATGTTCGATTCACTAGCTGCACAATTTCTCCTATTTTTAAGATATTTTTTGTCAAATTTTCAGCTTTTTCCCAATGAAATCATGAATTGCATATTTATAAATATAGGGTTATATCAGAATTGAGGGGCGGTATATGTCACATCAAAAATACAGGTGTCTATTTTCTAATAGTATAGGTGGATTTCTTCTATGAGTACATGTGTGAATACTTCATCGTGAAGTTAAGAAGTTTACTTCAGGTACCATTTAATTTGTTTAAGCTATTGAAGGGTAATATCTAATTTTAGTTCTAAAAATTTTAAAACAAAATTATATATATAGTATATAGTAATAATTAAAGTTACAACTGTAGTATATAGTATATATATGTATGCATATTTAAATATATATATATATATATATATATATATATATATATATATATATATATATATATATATATATATATATATATATATATATATATAAAAAA